ATTATATTTAATTCTTCTTCATTTTTGTCCAACTACCAACCAGAAACTACATTTATACATTTTTGAAGATTTTATAGTTTTGTGACAATATTAGAATATCCATTCTTTATTATTCTTATACTATAAATCATTCAATTTGTCTATCATAAGTATATACATTATATATACCCCTTTATAGATTTTATAGTTTTGTAAAAATTCAAATACCCATTCATTGTCCTTATACTAGAAATCAGTCTATCTGTCTATCCATCCAATATTAAAAATCCAATTATACTAGAAATCAGTCTATCCAGCACTTGGTATCAGAGTGAAGCTCACTCCAAGCACTTTTAAATTATGAAGCATAGTTAATTTATTTGATTTGCTCAAGTACTACGAATAAGACTAACAATCATCGCGTATGCGAGTAACATTTTTTGTGCAGAGGCCCCACAAAGTTTGTCTGGTCTTTTGTAATTGCCACAATAGCGTGGATTTGAATGCAAGTTCATGCCTAGATATTTACACACACGTAGGGGCAATCGCATGTCCTGTGTATGTGTGTGTGTGTGTGTGTGTGTGTGTGTGTGTGTGTGTGTGTGTGTAAAACTTATGTACATACATTTATCAAATTGTTGTTGCATTTGGAGCGCAAATAAGTGGTTTATGATGATGCTTCCCTCCCTTATACCCGCACAGTCAATTCTTAGTTATGTGAGTGGAAAAAAAACATCGACCTTTCGAGCTCTCGGACTATTTCTGCTTTTCAATAGATTGCAGGCTGGATGCCTGTCTAGTTTTCTGAATATCTGTTGCGATAATTGAACATTTGAAGGCCGTATTTAATTTCTTTATAGAAGTCCATTTTTTTGGTAGATAAAGACAAAATTGTGATTTGGCTTTCAAATGGAAACTATTTCATGGTCAAAAAATAAAGATCCATATTTTATCCATATCCATAAGATTATTTGTGGGATAGAGTTCTCTTATTACCAGCTCCACTCTTCCAACACTTTGGACTGAAAGTAAATTTGTCACACAATTTGTAGAAAAGACAAATGTAATTTCTATACCGTAGGGAAACTGTCTAGGGGTCCGCTTGCCCTCCTCTTCTGCGACTAGAAAAAGTATTAATTTGTTCATTGTAGACAAAATGTAAATCTTCATATATGTCTAAGAATGGGTTACAAGATTTTGCGGAAATCTACGAACTTCATAAAAAAGTTTCTTCATTTGTATTATGATTCTACCACTTGTATCAGCTGATAGAGACATCGAATAATATTATTCAACGATCTGGTATCCTTATTCTCATGATAATTTGATTCTGCAGCTTAAGTGTGTGAGAGAGAGAGAAAAAAAAGAGAGATAGAGAGGAAAAGAGAGAAAGGGAGAGAGACAGTTGGTTGCGTCCGTTGTAAGCGGGTGTGTTAGGCTCATCCAATCTTGTCGTAAAATAAACTCTTATATTAATTTTTGTTGTATTGTTTAAGAAGTTATCATTAATTATGCGACAGCTTATTAATTATTATTAAATTATTTTATTAATTGACTTCTTGTCGACTTCTGGTCGACTGTTAATTATTTAATATGACATTCAGTTAACATTGATGTGAATTTCTTTGCTCCTTTTTAAAAGCAAAAACCATCTCACTTACATCGCTTGCCTTGCCATTAGGCTGATCGATTCTTGGCTCTAATGAGATGCGCTTCTTTAGCTATTGATGTTTATAATAGGGATTCTAGGAAGATGTTATTGTTTTGAACTGTTTGGCTATTATGCTTGCAGCTGTTTTCCTCGCAATTGTCTTGGGCAAAGGTTTGATGTATTTGATTTGCAATTATACCGTTGCTTCTTGATTTAGACATCGTTGTTGCCGGACACATCGGCATGCCCTCACATCTCTAGTTACTGCGGCTGCTGTCTCTGATGGGCTGTTATACCAGTTGTTGTTGCTGTGGCTGCTGTTGCTGCTGTTGCTGTTTTTGTTGCTACTGCTTCATTTTGCATTTTTATGAGCATTGCCAATGTCGTGTGCACACCACACACACACACACACACACACACATACACATACCGGTCTAACTGCTGGTGTGGGTGCCGCAATAAATTGTTTATACGGTTCACTTAGCTTTGGGGCCATTTGGGATCATAGCCGCATACACAAACACACGCAAATGTATGCATGTGATACTGCATCAACTACTATAAATGCTTAAATGCTTCTGTATATAAATATATGTTATAGATATACATATGTATGTATCTATGTGTGTGTGTGTGTGTGTGTGTGTGTGGCCACCGACAGCGCAAACAAATTTCATTGGACGTGCTTGAAAATCTATTAAGCGTTGATAATTTTTGCCTCGTTTTTATAGGCCTGCGAAAACGAATGGCCACATAAATATGAATGCCAATACACAACCTACATACTTGTATGTACCTTTGTATTGTACATATGTATGTGCAAATATATTGATATATATATATATATATTTATATATATATTTACATGTGTGTGTGTGTGTGTGTGTGTGCGTTTGTGGGACAGAACACGCGTTGCAGTCGCGAATTGAATTTAACACGCGAAAATGCGAAATTAAGCTGATTTTATTCGCTTGCAGGGAAATAATCAACACAATAATAATCATTTTTAAAATGTGTAATACTTTTCTGTGTGTTTTTTTTTCTTTTTTTGTATTGCCATTATTATTTTATAGTTGTGCTGCCGCGCTTAATTGAATTTTAAGTCAGGCGTGACGAAATTTGAAATAAAACGGCAACAACGTTGTTGAGAAACGTTAAAAAGAGAGCGATGCATTCACAATTACTCTAGCATGATAATTGTATACCCTTTAGTCCCCCAAGCCAATATACTATAATTATACTATAAGTGTAAAGGAAGATTTATGTTGGATTCAAGTAAAATGTAATTGGAACTTAAGCAGCAAACATTAGTTATGGGAGATATGGTTAGAGACACGGTGGTTGCGAAGAAATATAGAAAAGAAAACAGAACAATTCCGCTGAGATAAAGAAATCTAAGCAAAGATAAAGCTAGATTAAAAAGAAATGAGCAGCACCCACAGAGCACAGTCCTCGGAAACTTTTAAATATAAAGAAGGAGCGAGAAAATAAAGGTCCACTTAAAAGACAAAACTATTTATTTATTTAATAAGTTATAGAATAAGTTATAGAAGTTGCAAATGAAGAAAGAATACGGAGAAACAAACGATTTAGGAGAAGAAAATTAAATTAGGCTTAGACTGATGTTTACAATAAATGATCGTTGTCTCTCCCTTCAATATCGGTGACCAATATAACAAATAAAAACAAATACAGATTGTGAAATGATGGCATGCATAAATAGATATTTAGCGCATCGAACTGGAAAAATCAGTTTAAATATATTCTAATCGTATTTGTATATTAAATATGACCGACACGACTCCAAACTCTTTGTAACATGCTCGTACACTACCATAAGCCCCCTCTTATTGGTCTCTTATTGGGCATGAATATTAAATGGCGATAAAAACACGTGCTTACAAATTGCAAATGAAATGAATTAAATTACTTTCAGCATAAATTTGATAATCCAATTAGGGGGAGGTAAACAAAAATATTTTAATGACCGCAATGTGAAAATTTAAAACAAGTTGCCACATATTATTGCATTTACCCATTAGGCATATTAATTTGCACATAATGCGAAAATAATCTCGCAGGTAGACGCTTCATCCGCATTGTGTCCCACTCCACCCTCCCAGTCAGCTAATTTATGTACCTAGTAATATTATTTAATAATTTTAAAGCAAGAAGGTCAAAGAGATCTGAAAAGGACGGATTCTATTTGCTGATTCAACAGGTTTTGGTTTTCTATAGCTTTATTGAATCTGTTTTGGGTTTTGAGAGCTATTCTACACTCATTTAGTGTATTATTAAGTTTAATTGAAACAGATATAAATGTAAAACGTTTTTAAATAATAACTGGACTAAATAATTGTGTTTTCTCTATTCGCAGGTGAGTTCATTTGATAAAAGTATTAGTTCGCAGTAAGTACAAAGCTCCAGAGCAAAACATATTCAAAACATTGAGAGTGGTATTCGTATATAGCTGTAGGTAGAGATATATCTTCAAATTCAAATGAAAGAATGCTTAATTGATAGACTAACTGGGAAACATTCTATGCTAAGGAAGTGAGCTGCTTTATCCTTGAAAATGTAAATGTTTTGAATAAAGTTTGGAAACATATTATTGCTATTGAATATATTCGTCAAATCTGATTCAAAGTTTCCTACATCCCAGGTGGTTTCTATATAAGCGGTTCCTATTACAAAGACTACTTCTTGGATTTTCAATCCTCAATGTGGCTTCAACGAAAAGGAAGCTTTATTTTACAAAAAGACTCAAAATTGAATTATTAATGAACAAAAACGTTTTCATGTAAAAACTTTTGAAAGCCAGATCGTTCCTATCATAGGTATATGATATAGTAATACAACTTAGATAAAGTTTAAGTAAAGAACTTGTCTCTATATAAAACAACTGTATATAAATACTTGTATGCTTGAAAAACTTTGTGTTTGTAAAGGTAGCTATTTAAACGATATAGTTGTCCGATTAGGAAGCATATGTGGTAGCTTTAAAGCTAGTTTGGACAGAAACAAAAACAAAAGGGTAGACGGTCATGCCTCGCCTGCTCCTAGACCGTACAAATATCAAAGCCATTGCAGTACAAATTTTTAACCTATGACTAAATAAAGGACATGCAATTTGTTGATTACGGTCACAAATGCAAAAAGTTTGCAAACCAATTCGTGTTAGCTTCCAAGTAGGCTTTGAAAAATAACTCACAAGGAAATTTATATTCCATATTTAAATATAGAATGCATATTAGTTTTTATAAAAGCGACAATAGACTCATCACATTCTTGTATGAATGGACAAATTTGCGTGCAAATTATTTGCCTGTCTGTCCGTTTCTTAAGTACACTTCAAATAAATCACAATTAATTGCTTGTTATGACAATTTTATTGCATTCGTATCAATATATAATGTACATATGTATATGTTGAGGCCGACTGAAGTCAGTTTTATGCTTTCATGCAAATTTTGATAATTGCTAACATGGGTGTGTGCAGAATTTGTGAAGGCTAAAAACTGCTTCCGTCGGCAAAATAGTACAGTGGCAATCGCTATCGTCTTGTAAAGTGTATATCCGAGTTTAACGGAAAATGTTAGTGGTGTGTTAATGCTCCAAACGCTTAACCTTAACAATCGCTTTCTTCTCGTGCATCTCTTTAAACACCCGAGCTATGACTTCCAATTCTTCCTGCGAAGGGGGGAAATGATTTCCAATGCGAATCGGACGGGGCTCTATATTGGAGCCTGTGCCTATCGAATTGAACTTGTTTGTAAAAGTCTAAGTCTAATTTATTAGGCATTACCACTAGGCTGTGGGAGCTCTGGCTGCTCCTCATTTCCGGTTCCTTCAGAATCTGTAAAAACTCACAAATTAGCAATAAATGCTCTTGATTCTTGGCAGCGAGACCAGTCGTTACCAGTAGAAGAAATCAAGTTTTCCGATATAGCACCTTCGTCCATCTTCTCTTCTTTAGGGGCCTCACCATTTTCGTTTTCTTCGGCTTTCGGAAGCTCGCTACCAGTAGAAGAAACACAGTTTTCCGGCTTAGCATTAGCTCCGATTTCGGCTTCTGTGGATAACAAAAAATAATGGATATTTTGTTCTTGTTGCCATTTCTACGTCAAGCTTACCTTGTGAAGCAAATATTTCCGCCTTGTCATTCTCTATTGGCTTTGCAGCGGATCCGATAACATCACGTTCTTGATTTTCGTTATTTTCATCGGATGCTGCAGGCACCCTCGTATCCTCATCCCCTTCTTCCTTCGAAATCGGTGTATTCTGTTCCATTTTCCACGTTTTCCAAACTCCAGTAGATATCCAAATATAGAAGCTGAAAAGGAAGAACAAAATGTTAATTAAATGAAAAAAGAAAAACCAAAATTGTATACCTGTCTCCAAGAGCTGTACTCGTCGACTGACTAAATTGAAATGAAAAAAATATATCCTTCGAACAAGCACTGCTCAAACATTTTTCAAAGCCAACTTCGCCTCTCACAGCCGTATTCTTAATCAACACTTCTCTGGAAAATGTAGCACATTTTAATGCTTAGCCTCTACATATATCGTAAACTTATTTTGTTGCAATTTGGTAAAGTTTAACCTACGATATATAATAATTTAAGAGACATAATTTCAGCTTAGAAAGTTTTTCCGAGGGATGTCAACTGTAATTGTTTTGAAATTGAGTTCAGTTGGCAGGACTGTCGTTTCATAGTACAAATACAGGGCTGCCAACAAAACGCAGAAAAGTTTACAAGTATTAACAATAACTAATTATTGGAATAAACTTTACTCACAATTTTCATACCCTACCAATCGTTGCTGTGGTCGTTTATGATACAACGAGTCGATTTTAAAATCTTTTCAGATTAGAGTCTCTATTTAACAAATTTGCTTAATATTTATATTTAAACTAGCCAGTTTATTGTACTAAGACTGATTTCTGTACTTATTGTTCACCAATTTTTGTGAATCTTCAGAATATCATGCTACACTACAAGGAGATTTCTGAACTAACTATAAAATAATGAGACTACTTATGTGGCGTTTGTAATAAGCTTGCTCTGCGTATGAATACGACAAGCCTGCAAACAAAGTTTGGTATCCCTAGCTTCTATAATGCAAAAGGTTTTGTTGTTGTAGCTGCTCCTGTGAATTATAGTTCTTTAAAAACATATCTTACCTATTTGGAAAAAAAAATGCTGCCTCCCAAAAATGAAGCAATTGAAAGAATGCAATATAAAACGAATGAAAATCATTCAATTCATTTATCATTTAGACTTTGGTCAGACTTGCAAATAGTCTGCACACAAATAGATCGTTTTTAAAAAGAATGAATTCAATAAAGTTTTTTGTTAAAGAAAAATTGGATTTAAGCATACAATTTGTATTGTGCATTACTTTCTTGAGAACTTCAATAAATATGTGCGCAAATAATTTGTAGGTCTGACCACAGCTTTAGGACACTGGCTGTCGATTTGTAAATTAGCAATTATTCAAATTTGCTTTACAAAGTATTGTTTGTGGGAACTCAGGAGGATTGCTGCCAAAAATGTAACTGAATATAAATTGATAAACATTTAATGAAAGCACAACCGCAACAAAATGTTTTCCAACCACTTAAATATTACATTACTGATATTTGTGATATGAAACAGATATTATTGATGCATGTCATATGAAATTGATGATTAGCCTCATTGAATATTCTGCCTTGATTAACAATATCTCAGCAAATTGGTTGCAGTTAGGGAAGGATTCGTTTAATCACGTTAACTGTATCATCTGTTTCAAATGATTGAAAAGCGTTAGGGACAGATTTAAGTCAAATGCTTGCACTGAAATATATGCACAATATTTATTCGCACGCGTGTGTGTGTGTGTGTATGTGTGTGTTTGTATTGCAGTGTATTATTTTAGCTAGCAAAAGCCATTCATCTTCGACCTCGAGGTAGCCATTTTGTTTTATTTGTTTGTGGCTGTGGTATTCTGTCTTTGCTGCTACTGCAGTTGTTGTTCTTGCTATGCCTGTTGTTGTTGTTGCTGTTGCTGTTGTTGATGCTGCTGCTTTGTCATGACTGGTTGTTGTTGTTGTTGCCAGGACATTTCGTGCTGTGCGACAATTGTTTTTCACTGCCTTGTGCCGACTCTCTAGCAACAACAGCAATGGCAACCATTGTCATATACCGCTGCTGCTTTTGTTGTTGTTGTTGCTGCTGTTGTAGTTTTACATCACCGCGAGGCAGAACTTAACCATGTCACATGAAAGGAAAGCCAAACAGGCAGGCAGGGAGAAAGGCAGAAAGGCAGATGCAGAGGCAGAGACAGGCGTGCAACTTAAATTATAAGACGTTGTCCTTCTTCTGCCTCTTCTTTGTGTGTCAGTGTGCGTTTGCTTGTGTCACTTTTGTATGCCATTTTCATTTGTATGTCCTTTATAGTTTCCACTATGTGTATTTCTGTGTGTGCTAGCCGTATTTCTTATGCTCGCAGAAAATAATTTATATGATATACAAATAACAATGAGAAGTGCGCGACGCTGCGGCCACAATTTGTTTTTGTCAGTCGCTGCATTTTTATAAAATTCTTTACCGCCAACAATTCTTAAAAAGCAGTCAGCTCAGCTCAGCTCGCCTCTCCTACCACCTACCCTCCTCCCTCCTCCCACCACCCACCGTAAGTCAAAGCAGGATGTGCTCAAAGCATATGTAGAGCAATTAGGGGCATATACACTGGTATATAATATATATACGACTATATACAGAGAGATGTATGTATATACAGATATGTGCAACGTATTTGTGCACTGTATGCAGCAGCTTTGTTCACTGTTTGAATTAATTACAATTAATGCCACATGCGGCCTGCTATGGGCCCCCCGATAATGTTGGCGTTGACGTTGACGTCGCTGCCCTTCGTGAGGTGCAGTCATGACACCGCAGGAAAATCCTTGGCAACGCACCGACTTACTGACGCCTCGCCAAGCGTTTGTCGCACACGTCGTATACGCAATTTTCTACAGCACATGGGTATGCAAATGCAAAGGCAAAAGATAAAAGATTCAGTAAATAAAATCCCTCTAACATATTTAGACACGATGCAGTCCCCAGGGACTTGGAATTTGCTGAGATCAGGCATATTTAGTTTGTAACCCCTTTGAGGTTGCGTCCAAAAACCTAAGCCTGTACAACTCAAAAAATACTTGACAAATACCACGAAAATATTCTACATAGAAATTTGTGAAATATTGTAAATTATCAAACAAACTTGCGAAACTTTATCAATGTTTGATTAAAGAAAATGATGCACTGATTTAAAAAGAATATGTTTTCTTAGAAATATGCTTATAAAATAATTTTATGTATTTAAGTGAATCTTTCATTCCGATTTTAAATAAGTTTTAAGCACTGATTCGAATTACGTGAAAAATATTTGAAAGAACGGCTCCAAAAATATATGTGTATTACTTTATATTAATATAATTTTCCAATAAAAAAGGGAGTAATTAACATTGAAAAATGATTCTTGGACAGTTAGTGGAATAAATAAGTACATAATATTTATAAGTATAAAATATATAAAGAAATGCAATCAAAATTTTAAGCAAAATGAAATATTTATATCAGCTTTTCATTTCCATACAATTATATAAAATGAAGTTTGATTTTCAATAAAACTGCAGATTAAGCAAGAATTCGACCCATTTCAACATCAGAAAGCACTGGTATTGGAAAAATAAAGAATAATATTTGAACAGATTAAATTGTGCGGCTATAGTTAAGCAGTTGTATAGCTAATTTAAATTTTTATAGGTCATTTATTAGAGAGTTGAAAATGGAAAATCGTCAAATTAAATAGACGTTTTTTTGTAAATGATATAAACCTGAGCCCAAAATATTGACTTCATTTTGGCGCTTTTTTTTTAACAATAACGCAGAAATGGAGTGAAAAGTCTTATCTTTCTTTTGGCATATTTCTTAGACCAATAGTTTAGGTTCTTCTTTTCTTCTACAAGTAAACATAAAAATAACATACTTTTGCTTTAGTCTATTTTGAACCACTGCAATTAATTTATATTTATCTTAGGAATACGAAAATATAAAACAAAACAAATTTTCTTGATACCTTTTAATAATAATATGCATGGAGATAAATGGTTGTTATTTCATGGCCTTCATGGCAGCTTTCGCTTAATTGGTTGACGTATAGTAGACTTTCAATTTCTTTGGCTTAACAGGGCACTTGTGGGTAGATGTGGTGGCGGTTGTGGGGGTGGTTGTGGTGGTGGTTGTGGTGGTGGTGGTGGTTATGGTTGCCAAACTTCAATCACCCACACAGACTCATCTGCGATGTGTGCTGTGCTTGGCGGCATCCAAGCACCAGTGCTTGCCAACTGTCGATGAAAATTGCGCAGTTTGCGTTGCATTTTGGCAAAACTTCACTCAACTATAACATCGACAATCCAGACTGCTGATTGACTGGCAGACAGACGGACTGATACCTGCTGACTTGGCTTGGCGTCTCAATGATTGCCGACGACGCGACACTATGGCCGAGATGGCCGGCAATCGAATGGGATATAAGGACCACTAGTTACCACTCAGCACTGACTCTGCTAACTGCTGACTGTTGACTGCCAGCAGCTCACAACTATCCATTTGAGTTGCAGTCAACAGTCAACATAGCTTAAAGTCAGAGCCAGAAGATGCGAATAGGGCCGAAGGATAAAAAGACTTGTGCGCACAAGTTGGCAAAACAGGCAAAACAAAATAAAAAACGCTTCGAGTTAAAACAAGAGAGAACGCTACAGTCGAGCGAGCCCGACAGTGTAATTCCCTGTACCCAGGTAAACTTCCGTCACTGAGTTATATGCGCCCATAGCAGCAGCAAAAAGAGGAAGAAGAAGAGCGAACTTGTTGCTGAATTTTTTTTTTTGGGGGGGGGGGGGGAGGGTTGTACTGGCGAGAATTTGTTTCGCTAATAACTTTTCTTAGAATTGACCGAATTGAATAAAATTGTAAAAACAGTAGATAATTATAAATAAATTATGTGTGCAAAGTTTGGTTTAGGTAGCATTTGAAATGTGGACGCTATTGACGAAATTAGGTAGCGGGGAAAAGAGGGGGGGGGGGAATTCCAAAAAATAAAATAAACTCCTCCTTTCTCGGACCTAGGAGAATCTGGATGCCAACTTTGGTTATTCTAGCTTTTATAGTTTCTGAGATCCTTGCGTTCATCCAGACGGACGGACAGACGGACGGACATATCTAGATCGATTTCTCTCGTCATGCTGATTCAGAATGTATATACTTTATGGGGTCGGAGATGCTTCCTTCTGCATGTTACATACTTTGCACAAACCTAATATACCCTTTTTACCCTACGGGTACAGGGTATAACAAAAAAGCAGCAAACCCTACAAAAATTACAGCTACAT